TACAGCTGAGCTGGCTAGATGTAGCCGTAAATTCTATGCTAACAATTTCTTTTATCGCACTTCTCGTTTGTAGAACTCCCTCACGACTCCATGCTTACCAGTTAACTTTGGATTTCAAAAATTTAAATGTAATGTCAATCGTTATCTACTGTCCTCCTGATTACTCTTCTTTTTAGTAATCTTTCTGTTTCTAATTCTTCCACATCCAGTAACCACTTGTGTCTTAGTGGCTTTACTGCCTTGCTTGGAGTGAACTCGATTTAAAAATGTTCAATCTATGGGATTCTCAGCATTATTTGTTAGATTCTTAAAATCTCTTCACTATGTGTGAAGGAAATGTCCAGAATTTACAGTCATACAGGAGAATTGATACTAGATAACAGTTCGGCACTCTTTTCTTTGTTTCTAACGACATTTTCCTATCTCTTAATACTTTGCTTTGTTTCGGAAAGGTATGAGGATATTGTCTAGCATTCAATGCCATATAGGAGACTAGATATTACATAGCAGTACAGCCATTTTTTCTTTGCTTCTAAAGACACTTTCCTATCTCTTAACACTTTGCTTTCGTTCTGAAAGGCATGAGAATATTGCCCAGTATTCACTGCCATATACGGAATTAAATATTATATATATTATTAACAGTTCAGCATTCTTTTCTTTGTTTCTAACGACATTTTCTTATCTCTTAATACTTTGTTTAGGTTATGTATGACTGCTTTCGCTATGGCTACTCTCCTACATGCTTCCTCTCTTTCTATCTTATTCTTTTTCTCTCTCTCTCTTCCTCTCACTCCCTTTTTCTCTCACATTAAACTATTGTAATTTTTTCTCCTCCATTTATTTCGCCATCGTTCCCTCTCGCTCTCCTCTCTCGATCCCCCTCTTCTGTTTCAGTTATTTCCCATTCTTTTTCTCTATCACTCCCCTATACTTTCGCTTATTCTCGCTCCCCTTATCTTTCGATTCTTCTTCTCCTCCATCTTTCACTTCCTCTAGCTCCCATTCTCTCTCAATTCCTCTTGTCATCCTCTCTCGCTTCCTCTCTTTCTCTTTTTCTTTGATTCCTTACGCTCTCTCACTTCCTTCCTCTCTAGTTTTCTCCCTTTCTTTCTCCCTCTCTTTCCCTCTCGCTCAGTATTCCTCCATGCAAGTTTCATTTATGTTGACTTTTTCCATCGTTAACTTTGTCTGCCGGTCTCAAAAAAATCTTTCCTTCTTGAATTTACTGTTTCCCATGTTTTATGGCGTCATTCTCGAACTGACCAATAAATCCTCCGCACATCTTTTAAGATTAAAATCTAAAAAGATATTAGATTGACCTCCGCGTGTAAATTTTTCGGAATTTGCTTGGGTGAACGAAACAACTTACGGAATGGACAGTGTATCGGTTTGGCATTGAAAAAAAAAAAAGAAATATGAAATGAATGAAAACCTGCGAAAAAAAATGAAAAAAAACCCTGAAAAAGATTTGCAAAAAGAAATGAAAAATGGTTCACTTAGATGTACACAGCTACAGTAAGCTTGCTGAGGCCGTAAAAGAAGAAAGGCCTGATATTGTGCAACGGTAAATGAGAACGTATGTTTTATGTGGCTTAGCTAAGTAAATTTCCGCTAGAATTATGAGAACTAAAATTGCATGAACTGTTCAGTTGTTTCTTTATTAACAGAAAAAAAGTGAAAAGAACCCATTAAAATCCAAAAAATAATTAACAGAAAAGCTTCTTTTAATTGATTCGTCTTTATGTCTTATCAACCCTTTGCCAGTAATTATATCCAGGAAATATTTTTGAGATGGTAAGAACATTTGTTATGAGATAATAACGATTAAGTGATACAAGTTTTAATAATTAACCCATAGCTTTGGGGCGAAAAGGTGGATTCATACCTTTCCTCAGACGATTTGCGCGTTAGAGAATATAACGAATCCCACGTCAATTCGAACTCGGCCCTCCGATTAAAAATTCATAGCCGTTATCCGTTACACCACCCCCACATCCAATCTTACAGCACCTGGTATTTATCAAACGTTCACCCATCTAGGTACAGACCAGGATCGACGTTCCTTAACTTCGGTGAATTTACTGGAGGAGGTTTCAATGTGATGTGGCTGTAAGCCCTAAACAAGAAAGCGCAATAAAGAAAGAAAGAAATAAAGAAATAAAGAAATAAAGAAAGAAAGAAAGAAAGAAAGAAAGAAAAGGCCATCTACCCATCCATTGAGATGTTATTGTCTTTAAAGGCAAGTGTGGATTTCCTTCCAGAGTTGTTGAAATTTTGAAATTTGATCTTTTCATATTTTGATATTTGATATTTTCAAATTTGATATTTTCATATTTGCTATTTGATATTTTCATATTTTCATATTTTTCTATTTGATATTTTGCTATTTGATATTTTCATATTTGATATTTTCATATTTGCTATTTGATATGTTGCTATTCGATATTTTCGTAATTGCTATTTGATATTTTGCTATTTGATATTGTCATATTTTATATTTTCATATTTGCTATTTGATATTTTCATATTTGATATTTTTCTATTTGATATTTTGCTATTTGATATTTTCATATTTGATATTTTCATATTTGCTATTTGATATTTTCAAATTTGATATTTTAATATTTTCATATTTTGCTATTTGATATTTTTCTATTTGATATTTTCATATTTGATATTTTCAAATTTTCTATTTGACATGTTGCTATTTGATATTTTCATATTTGCTATTTGATATTTTCATATATATATATATATATATATATATATATATATATATATATATATGTATGTATGTATGTATGTATGTATGAGTTAAAATAGAATCTAGCAGGAGGAGCATGTAGTCATTGGAGCCTTACAAGAAATCGTCAATTTTCACAGCATCTTTGGCAATAGATCGTATATATGAGTTTCACTTGGGGTACAGGACTTAACGTAGCAGGAGAAACCCTTCCCCAAGACGAAACGTCGCAAACCACCTACTGTTCTATCGCTTATTTCCATGGAAAGTGTTCAGACGAACTACATTGCCCACTTCTAACCTTCACGGCTAAGACCCAGCAGGTTGCCCACATTGTAACGAACCACCCTCATTCCCTTCTTATTCCACTGCTGAGATATAAGTTCCACAAAAGCAGATTTTTTTTTCACGAACTTTATGTAACCGACTCCAAATAGAATGCTCCCCGATCACTACAAGCTTAACCTGTTCAAGTCTAGGGTCAACCGTTATCTTCTTCACAAACTGTCCCTCTCACTCTGTAACATAATCGTAAAGAGATGCCAATTTTCACGATGGTTTTGCTTATTTTTAATGTGTCAGAACATCATGTCATCTGAAAGTTTCTAATTTTCAACTTTTGAACTCCGGGCTTTTATAAAATTCCTCTTCTCTGCAGAAGAAAATGCCAAAGGAAACCTCTGAACGTCTGGTGCCAACATTGAATGGCAAATACCCGTGTTACTCATATGTGTAGAAGTTGTATCCCAAATTCCGTAGTGAAGATTTTGAGACCCACCATGCAACGTAATTAATGAGCCCTTCAACCGTGTCACCTCTTGTTATTTATTAATCATTCTCATGACCTTATCGGCTATTTTTTACAATAATGTTAACCCTGCAAAAGGTCCAAGAGCCACTCGAGGTAGAGAGTTAAGGAATAAGAAGAAAGAGGGGACAGCTTATGAGGATATGTGGGGAACATAACGGTTAAACGTAGACTCAAATAGGATCGAGGAAGCAACATCTTGGGAGTCGGTTCCGCAAAGTATCATTTCATGGGAAGCATCTTCTAGAACTTGACTAATATGTTACGAAGTAAATGAGAATGGTTCTCTACAATGTGTGTGTCACGGCTGGTCGCTGTTGCGAAGGTTAAAACTGAGAAATGTAGCTCATCTGAACAGTTTATATGAAAATAGCAACAGAGTATGGAGAGTCTATAAACTATTCGACTAAGTGGAAGGGGTTGTTAGTTGGAAAATAATTCATCACATAGCGTAGACACTGTCGGACTCTATTGAGACTAGAAAGTGTTGACATGGCAACGCCTGCTCATATATGGCAGCAGTATTCCATCCCCGGTCTGATCCGGCTCTTCCAAAGTTAAATGATAGCAGGTGGATGCAGGTACTTACTGGGGCGGTACAGGGAATCGGCCATTTTTCCAGCATATTTAATGATGGTTTATATGTACTAGTTCCAAGTTAATGTCTGGGTTAGGCTTAAGTCCTAATAGGCGCTCAAATCAAGGGCTCTCTCTGAAAGAAAAACCGTTCATCGCGATAGAGGAAAATTCAGTGGCCGCAATTTCGACGAAAAGAATTGCTGCGAGACAAGATTTGTCCGGGGAAGGAGCTGGTTTTATAATTGTGTACGCAGAAGTTGTTAAGTCAGATTTAAAAATGATTGATTACCGGCCAGAAACGAGACCGTGTGAACGCCTCTAATTTGATTTTGTGGCGTTTGTTTCTTTCGGAACGGCTTGTCACTGTTAATGAAACATGGATGAACCGATGACCAATCAATATGAAGGTATACCGATTCTCTACAGCCGAAAAAAAAATTCAAGACACACATCTCAGATAGAAATGTCGGCCACAGTTTCATGACTATCGCCACTTGAACCAAACAATTAATGCAGATTCTTTTTTTAAGTGTGTGTCCATTTAGGATATAGGAAATCACGGCTCTCCGTAACTTCTAAACCATTGTAACTCTTGCTTTTTTTTAACTCTCCTGATCTGATATACATTAACACAAACTTGTTAAGTAGCTTACTCGACGTACGATCAGAGAAGCAAAACAATGTCGGCACTGCTCAATGCCTAGATGGGTAACTGCTTGAAACACTGGTACACGTACAATCACACAAGTTAAGAAACGTCGACCCTACTCAGTACCTAGTTGGGTGACCGTTTGAAACAGTAGTTCACGCGCGATCACAGAAGTTAAGAAACGTCGAAATTAGTCATTGCCTAGATGGGTGACCGCTTGAATCACTGGTTCCCGTACGATCACAGAAGTTAAGCAAGGTCGGCCCTGCTCAGTACCTAGATTGGTGACCGCTTGAAATACTAGTTCCCGTACGATGACAGAAATTAAGAAGTATCCACACTGCTCAGTACCTAGATAGGTGACCGTTTCAAACAATAGTTCACGCACGATCAGAGAAGTTAAGAAACGTTGACATTGGTCAGTACCTAGATGGGTGACCGTTTGAATCACTGGTTCCCGTACGATCACAGAAGCTAAGCAAGGTCGACCCTGCTCAATGCTTAGAGAGGTGACCGCTTAAGACGCTAGTACCCGTACGATCACAGAAGCTAAGCAAGGTCGAACCTGCTCAGTAACTAGATGGATGACTCCTTGAAACACTAGTACGATGACAGAAGTTAAGAAGTGTCGACACTGTTCAGCCCCTAGATGGGTGACTGCTTGAAATAGTTGTTCCAGTACGATCACAGAAGTTAAGAAACGTCGACACTAGTCATATATCAAGATGAGTCACCGCTTGATACACTAGTTTCGGTACGATCACAGATGTTAAAAAACGTTGACCCTGCTCAGTACCTACATGGGTGACCGATTGAAACAGTAGTTCACGCACGATCACAAAAGTTAAGAAAGGCTAAGCTAAGCAAGGTCGAACCTGCTCAGTACCGAGATGGGTAACCACATGAAACAATAGTTCCCGTACGATGAGAGAAGTTAAGAATTGTCGACCCTGATCAGTACCTAGATGAATGACCACTTCAAACACTGGTACCCGTACGATCGCAAAAGCTAAGCATGGCCAACCCTTGTCAGTGCCTAGATGGGTGACCGCCTGAAACACTATATAGAAGCTAAGCAACGTCAACTCTCCTCAGTACTTAAATGGGTGACCGCTTGTAACACTGGTTCCCGTACGATCACAGAAGCTAAGCATGGTCGACCCTTGTCGGTCCGTAGAAGGGTAACCACTTAAAACATTGGTTCCCGTACGATCACAGAAGTTAAGCAACGTCGACCTTCCTCAATACCTAGATGGGTGACCGCTTGAAACACTGGTGCCCGTACGATCAGAGAAGTTAATCATCGTCGACCCTCGTCAGTACTTAGATGGATTAGAATTCCACGTACCGTAACCTTAAATGTGCGAATGGTGTAATGGATAATGGCTCGGAATTGTTAATCGGTGAGCCGATTTCCAATCTTCGTTGGGTTCGTTATAGTCACCTACCCACAAATACCTTTAGGAAAGATAGGAATCCATCTCTTCTCTTTTCCAAGTAATAGGTTACTTATTAACACTTGTATCGCTAAACCATTATTATCTCAAAAGAATTCTTGAAATCTAAAAACATTTTCTGGCTTTAACTAACCTGAAAAGGTTTGATAAGCCGTAGAAAATGAATGAGCCAATCAATCAATCGGTGGAAATGAAACTGTTCAATTCCCATGCTCATTTCAGAAGGAAAATATTTTTCCTGATCAAAATTGAATTTTTTTGGTTTCTCTCATTCTTAAAATTTCATAAATCTTATCGAGTTATCTTCGTTTATAGAATCTTTTGTGAATTGTCTCAATTTTCTTCTTGTCGCTCTAATTACAAAATCTCAAGTAACGAGAAAAAGCTTCTTCATTTTTCCTACAATAATTTGTGTCACGTATGAAGAGGCATGTTTGGATTTAAATTAAAATCTACTTGTTTCTGCGTAAGATTCTACGCATACTACATTTAACTCTCTCTCTCTCTCTCTCTCTCTCTCTCGCTCTCTCTCTCGCTCTACATATATATATATATATATATATATATATATATATATATGTGTTCATTCAGTTGTATGGATATTAGTTTGTGACCCTGGTTTCACGCTTTTATACTGTGTCACAAACTAATATCCATACTCTGAATATATTAGTTCTATCACTGATATTAAGCACTTTCCACTAAGTACTGTGCATATAATATATATATATATATATATATATATATATATATATATATATATATATATGTAAAAATATATGGATATAGATCCGACAGTATGAAGAAAAATATACTGAAAAAAACAAACAAAATCCCTAATATACAATTCAACATGAAAAAGACGATGGACATAGAAGCAATACCAATCCAAACAGATAACTGAAATGGTCTATGTTAATTATGTTTTATGAATATGTCCTGAAGATGGTCTATTAGATCGAAACGTCCGACGTTGACATTAAACATTAAAACAGCATAATCGCATATTAGGATTTTTGTTTGTTTTTTTCAGTATATTTTTCTTCATATATATATATATATATATATATATATATGTGTGTGTGTGTGTGTGTGTGTGTGTGTGTGTGTGTGTGTGTGTGTGTTTAATTGGTATCAACCCAAGCAAGGCAGTAAAGCTACTAAGACACAAAGAGTAGATGAGTAGAAGTGTTAGGAACAGAAATATTAATAATAAGCAGGCAGAAGAATGAGTGATCAGGAGGACAGTAGATAGCGATTGACATTGCATTTGAAATTTGGTTGGAAAGCATAGAACCGGAAGGGAGTTCCACAAACGAGAAGTGCGAGAAAAGAAAATGTCAGCATATAATTTACGGCTACATCTAGCCAACTCAACTGTAAATTGATGAATTCTTGACGCCAGTCTAGTGCTACGCTTCAATTCAAAAATTCATTCTGGGGGTCTTTCTTTTTTCTCCAAATCCGTGAATTTGTTTTGATCATGTTAAATCTCGAAAAAACACCATATAAAATTTACTATTTTTTTTTTATCCATAATGTTGAATGTATTAAGATTATTCGACTTTTAGCAAGAAAGAGCACAAGTTGATGTCCAAAAATAGCCGCAAAACATTCTTGATTTATTTCAAATGGAATGAACTATTATGACATATCTCGATTTTGTATTTAAATACATTGTATTTATATTCATTTTTTCTTGTTAAATTCTTCATCTATATTGCATATGATCCATTATTGTGCATAATTAGGTTACAGTAAAATTTGTATTTTATATGAATACTATCTTATGAAAATTAAGATGTAGTAGAGTGAGTTCCTGTATCATAATTTCGGGGTGGGGTACACGAGACCCTTGCATCTGGTTTGCATTTATACAAACGTAAGATAAGTGAAAATAACGAAATGTTTCTAAAAGTCGACAAAAAATAAATAATGTTGAAAGAAATATGAAATCTCTTATAAGAAATCTTTAATTTTAGGTTCGGCAACATTAATTAAGATCTTTTTTCCTACCACGTTCGTAGTAAGCATTGTTATAGTCTGCCATATTTTTATAGAATTATCTAAATAACTCGAAAGTATCTGTTTCATTATATTTACTTCAAATGGAATTGTTATTTTTATTATTATTATTATTATTATTAAGAAAAATATTCGACCGATGTCCAGATTTTGCTGTCATAGTCAACTGTATTTAGCTATGTCCACAATAGGAAGTTCTATTAAACTTATTATAATGACAAATATAACTTCAGAATATAAATGACTCGTTGAAAATATTTATACATAAATATTATAAAGGTTAGAAAATTTCTATGAAAAGTCCTTATAAATTTATAATTGATATGTTTACCATTCGTCCATGTATTGAATATTGAATATTGCTGTCTCATCTGGTCTGGAGTTTCTGCTATGTATATAGAGAGTTATGGTAAGATCCAAAGAAGAATCTGCAATGTCATTGGTCATGTCCGGGCGTCTCGGCTTCAGTAACTCTCCCACCGCCGTAACGTAGTTTTTCTGTGCCTTTTCCATAAAATTTGTCATGGTGATTTTGCTGATGAACTTTCCTCTTTTTACCTAGACTTTATGAATTTAAGCTCAGTGCTAGATTGGCGGCATTTTAGAGCTGAAATGGCTAGATGTGAGTCCTATGCTAACATTTTCTTCTCTCGCGCTTCTTGCTTGTGGAACTCTCTTCCAGCTTCTTGCTTCCCAGTCAACTTTGATCTTCAAAAATTGAAATGCACTATTAATCGTGATATTCTGTTTTCACAATTCCTTTTATTATTCTCTCTCCTTATTTTTTTTTCTCTTATTCTTTCACACTCAGCAACTCATTGCGTCTTAGTAGCATTATTGCCTTGCTTAGGTTGAAATCGTTAACAGAACATGTTAGCAGACATTCAGACAGCTTTTGCATTCTTGTGCGCATGCGTATGCACGTTCGGGTATGTCAGTTATCGGCTTTTTTATACGAGTATTAATATGAAAAAAGAAAATTATTTCTACAAACAAAAATGGTGACATTTATCGTAACACTCAGTAGTCTAAAAAAATGTTTTTCGTCAAACATTTTACTTCTAACGGAAAGGCATCAAACATTTTTTTCAGAAGTCGGTTGTAAATTGACTCTTAAATCATCGGATGGCGACAAGCCTTCTCCATCTTCGCATTTTCAGTTCTGCAAATCCAAACAAAAAAGAAAACAATCCTGAATTGGAATGTATCAAATGAGACGAATGTGGATTTATCAAAATGAGTGATGGCTGTTTACGCCAACCTTGTGGAGAAACAACGGCGCCTAGCGGCCCAAACGGACACATTAATAACAACTTAATCTGTACAGCATCATTTGACTCGTTTATCGGATACGATCGTCTATAAATATTTTTTGGAGTCGGTTCGAGTTCTGAATTTGCGAAAATTTCTTTATACTATATTTAGCAAATGTCTCTTGTCAGTGGAATATTCCCCTAGAAATCTCTACAAGAAACTACCTGGAATTAAACAGGTTCATATATTGACAAAGTTTAACTTAGGACCAGGTAAAAAGCAAAACGGTATGTCAATATCGCCCGTTGTCTCTAGGTACGCCTATTACCGGATACACCTTCGGTAATTTTTTATTGTCTAAAAAAAATATTTTTAGAATTTTAATAAAACCGTAACATATAAAAGTAAATGTTATACAATTTTCTCGTTATAGTTAGCTATCAATACCTCATATTAATTCTTGTTTTAATTTTCCAATGGAGTTCAGTTCCCTAAACATGTTAAAGTAAGTGGTTATTTTGCCAGCCCCGGTAAAATAGACAAGCATGACTTTAAGCTCA